GTTCGACCATACTACTCAAGACTTACTACTGTGCTGGCAACTGAAATCCGACGGCCTTGGCGGCTCGGCGCGCCGCTAAGGCCCCGGTCACACATGCACTTTTTTTGGCGGTTCCGCCAAAGCGTAACTTACGCTTCCGCCGTTGCCTCGGCAACGGCGGAGGCGTAAGTAACGCTTTGGCGGAAAGTTTGGATTTCGCTACGCCAAAAAAATGCGAGCGGACCCTCCGCTTTCGCGGATCCGCTTTGGCGGAACCTGCATGGTGATGGCTTTGGAGTTTGGTGCGCTACTTCTGCACTGAGTTCTGGTGTTGTTTGGTTGCCGTTTGGTATTCAGTTTTCATATTGTTCTTCTTTGCCAATGAATTGTACGTTCTGGAGATCTCGCAAACAATACTGCATCGTTATGAGTGGATAATTGGTGAGGGAATCCGTCTCCCAACTCATTGGCCCCGATCGCGGACGCTCTCCAACTGTCTCCTTCTCTCCTTCTCTCTCCAAGCAATACGTCCACCAGAGTATGCAACACTAGGACTGCAACCAGGGAGTAGTAGAGTACTCTGCCACACCCTCACTGCAACTGCAGGCATCCACGCAGTCGCTGGGTCGATGATGGATCATGGAGGAGGCAACGACACCCTGCTATAAAACAATTTGAATTTGATATTGATGTAAACTAAACTAATATTCGAATACACCAGTGCTGGGCCGCAGTGAATGTGCCCCAAATCCACGAGTGTACTTGACAGGAGACATTCAGCAGCCTGTCAGCGATCCACGATAGCTCTACTTGTACAAGCGAAGGTCGCTTCAACTCGGACAAGAAGGAGGCAACGACACCCTGCTATACAACTATTTGAATTTGATATTGATGTAAACCAAACTAGTAATATTCAAATACACCTGTACTGGGCCGCAGTGAATGCGCCCCAAATCCACGAGTGTACTTGACAGGAGACATTCAGCAGCCTAGCCTTTCAGCGATCCACGATAGGTCTACTTGTACAAGCGAAGGTCGCTTCAACTCGGACAAGAACATCTAAAATTTCATAGGACGTGCTGCATTTGCATTCTCTCCGCCAAAGCGGAGCGTTGAGGAGCACAGTAGTCTACATGTATGTGTGACCGCTGCATCGTGTGGTTCGCCAAAGCGGCTGCGGTAGTTCCGCTTTCCGCCTCCGCAAAAGCGGTGCAAGCTTTTCATGAGCTGCTAGTCATCCCAGTATTCGTCTCAACTTTATAACCCTTTCTATGGCTCTCCCCCTAAATCCTCATGCATTACCATTTAAGCCCCGTCCTACCTCAGCTAACCAGCCGATGCCTAGCAAGACATCCGCCCTCAATATTGCATTCCTAAATGTCTGTAGCTTGCGGTATAAGGTGCACGATGTCAAAGCTGTCCTGGCAAGCCAGAGCTTGGACATACTTGGTGTTGCCGAGACATGGCTGGATCAGACAATCGGAGATGGAGAACTGTGTATCCCAGGATACTCAATTGCACGACGTGATCGTGGTAGACAGGGTGGTGGCGTAGCCATCTACTACCGCTCCACACTTCCCGCAAGACCGCGTCCTGACCTAAGCAAAGAAAACGTTGAAATCATATGGCTTGAAGTCAAGAGCAAGTCCGGACCTCACCTAGTTGCATGCGTCTATCGACCGCCAAATGAGCCAGTCGCCTACTGGACTCGGATAGAGCAAGAGCTTGAGCGGGCGTCCCAAGTGACACCATCGATGACCCTACTCGGTGACTTCAACGCTAATGTATGCCAAGGTAGTCATCAGGTGCGCCACTTGCTTGATCTCTGCGACGTATATGGCCTGAAAAATCACGTTATCTCCCCAACACGTGTCACACCAGAGCATCCCCATGGAACTGTGATCGACCTTGTTCTTTCAGATCCCACCAACGTCTCCGCTTGCAGTGTTATTCCCTGTGACATCAGCGACCATTTCCTGGTGAGAGCGCATCTCCATCTCCTCACTGCGCAAACTACTAGTCGTGCACCTCGCATCACTCGCCATCTACACCGGATGGACTTCGAGTCTTTTCGGCGTGACCTCATTGCAGCCAACTTGTATGCATTTGCACCTGGATCCGACGTGCACCAAATGTGGCACCAGTGGCATGGAGGGTTCATGGACGTGCTGGACAGGCATGCTCCGCAGATTCTTACAAGTCAGGGGAAACGGCCATCAAACCCGCCCTGGTCGGATAGAGACTTGTTCCAGCTAAATCAGCGGAAAATCCGACTCCACAAGAAATGGCTCGCGAACAAAGGGGACTGGGCGGCACATCAGGACTTCAAGCGAGCCAGATCTGCATGCTCAAATGCGTACCGCAGAAAACGCAATGAGTACTTCCGCACCCAGTGCAGTGAGAATAACTCTAATCCTCGTCAAATGTGGTCGGTTATCAATCAGGTCACAGGACGAAGCCGTCAACACCAGGAGCCCGCATGCCCTATGGATGCAGTAACCACCGCGTTCCACAAGGTTATCACGGACACCAGCCGGCCGCAAAGTCTCCAGATACCAAGCGGACCACCCCCACAGCAATGTCTCATCTCCTTTCCGCTGGTTACTGTCAGGGAAGTTGAGCGGTTACTACGATCAATCAACACGACCAAGGCCACAGGAAGCGACGACATACCCGGTTTTGTACTGAAACATAGCGCTGATATCCTTGCCCCTTCACTGGTCACACTGTTTAATGCGTCCCTGTCCAGCGGGGAAGTGCCAAGAGGTTTCAAGCTAGCACACGTCACACCCCTGTTCAAGGCCGGAGACCCATCCGTGCCCACAAACTACCGCCCTGTGTCGCTGTTACCCGTGATCTCTAAGCTACTCGAAAAGCTGGTGCAGAAAGCCCTGGTTGACTTCGTCGACCCAGCTCTCCCTAACACCCAGTTTGCATTCCGCCCTGGACACTCGACCGAAGATGCACTGGCACTGCTCTCGGACACCGTCCTCCAAGCAAGAGACAATGGTTCTGTTGTAGCAACATGCCTGTTAGATATGAGTAAAGCCTTCGACAAGGTGAAGCATGCCACCCTCATCCAGGACTTGTTCAGCATCGGTATCTCCGGCACAGCCCTGAAATGGTTTCGCGACTATTTGTCTGGGCGCCATCAACGCGTTCGTATGGGCTCCCGACTGGGCAGAACTGTACCGTGCACTTGTGGTGTGCCGCAGGGCTCTGTACTAGGACCCATGCTGTTCTCCATATACACTAGAGATGTCCCCTCTGAATCTGCGCCGGCATCATCACTGCAGTTTGCGGACGACATCGCCCTGACATGTGCAAGACGGACAGCGCAAGAGGTGTCTGATGCGCTCAGCTTGGCGGTTACCTCCCTCTCAAGTTGGCTGGACGCTCGTGGTCTTGTACTAAATGCAAAGAAGAGCAATGTATTGGTTTTTACCAGCAGCAGTGGGCAGCAGCCGGACGTGGTTGTACGCTGTCGAAATGATGTCCTTCCGCACACCACCAGCGCGAAATACCTCGGCATCTTGATCGATGAACGAATGGCCTGGCAACCGCAAGTTGACCGGTGCATCTCACGCACTGCTAGGAAGATTGGTAGTCTGTGGCGGGCGCGACGTTGCCTCACTCTAGCTAGTCGAAGAAAGTACTTCCTATCTGTCATCATGCCGGATTTGATATATGGATCGTCCGCCTATGGCTCTGGCTTGACCCACAACCAGCTAAACCGCTTGCAGATGGCCCAAAACCGCGCAGCAAGGGCGGTGTTCGGACGACCACGATTTACCAGGGCCAGTGACCTCTTGGAGAGGCTCTCTGTTTATCGCGTGGACGAGGTATATCGCCAGAAACTGCTCGTGCTGGTATGGCGGTGCGTTCATAACCGTGCCAGTCCTGCTCTGCAGGCACTGTTTGTCAGCAACTGCGGAGCAACTCGCCTTCAGCGCAGTCTGGGCCTGCAACAACCAATAGCCAGAAGCCGAGCAGGCCAATGCCGACCGGCATCTCGCGGTTGCCTGTTATGGAACCATATACCTGACACGGTGCGAGCCATGGGCAACATCCCAGCATTCCGCCGAGCTGCCATTCCCTACACGTTGTAGACTGCTACACAATTGGTCACACCATGGTATTCAGTACCCACGAACTTTGCAAAGCCGCGCCGATAATATGATAATGTACCGTGGTGCATGCACCGATGGTACCACCACTTCGTAGACTGCCTCCCGTTCATTTCTGTGCTCCTGTCTTTATTCTCGTCAGCTGTGTACATCAGCAGTTCAATTCTGTGCTCCAGTCCTCTTTATTCTCGTGAGCTGTGTACTTGTTTTGCTGTTTGTTTGGTTTATTTGAATTCGCTCAGTAACCGTGTACTTCAGCTATTCTCTCCTCCCTCTTCTGAATTTGACTCTCCGCTGGCCTTCTCTCCTCCCATCCCCTTACATTGTATTGGGCCTCCGCAGCTCCCCCCCCCCCCCCCCTCCACGCACACACTACATTGTCACATAGCACAACTCAACCATTCGCTACCCTGTTATTGAGCACTCCTGCTCGTTTGGTCTCGCGAATCCAAATAAAATCAATCAATCATCAATCATGTGTGACCGCGGCCTAAGGTGGCCGGATTTCAGTTGCCAGCGCTGTAGTACACTAAACCGTAGCCGAGATCGAAAGGGCACACTGTACGAGGTTACAACTAACTGCATTCCGTCCAACACCATACCGTACGAGGGCTACCCCACACTGGCTGCACGCTTCAAGCAAACCCAGTCTGGGAGTGTCACGAAGTGAGACATTCCGGAGGTGATTGCATGGTGTCGGCCGCGCTCGGAGCGTGCTACCCAGCCTTTACCATGTTTACCTGGTTTACGGCTTTAGCTAAGCCAGGCATGGTACCAGTCGCACCACTGCTAGTGAAAAGTACAAAACGGCACACATGTTTGAAATCTTAACTGGTTTGAGGGAAAAACACTTCTCTTTCTCCGAATGTGGTGCAAGGTTGATCAGCGATTGTTAGAGTCTCCATTTGTTTTACGAGAACTTCTAATGATAATACAGACTGGTGAACTAGCTGCAGGGGAAGAGCGTCTGCGTGAGGTCTTCCAACAAGTTCAACAACTGAAGGCTATGCAAAGACTGCATTGATATTTGCTGCCAACACTTCGGTGAGTGTTTCTCCAGTAGTACGAACAATGTTGGTGAACACACATGTATGTACTATGCTGTTAGTTTGACAGCATAAAACAAGGTTTATCTAATATTAGTGTTGTACTAGTAATGGGTTAGTAATGTACGCTCTGCCCATTCCCGGCATTTGAGCACTATTGCAGGTTTAGGCGCACAGTCTCTGGGTTATAATGTATGTACTAGTAGGCTTTTACGTACTACTCGGTTGTCTATTTGCTTTGTTTCTTACTAGTGACTTGTGAGGTAGGTAGGTATAGGTACGTTGTATGTATGTAGGTAGGTAGGTAGGTAGGTAGGTAGGTAGGTAGGTATAGGTACGTTGTATGTATGTAGGTAGGTAGGTAGGTAGGTAGGTAGGTAGGTAGGTACATAGGTAGGTAGGTAGGTAGGTAGGTAGGTAGGTGGGTAGATATAATTTTATGTAGGACTCAGTATAGAGTCCATGCACTATAAATTATGATGTCCAGCACCCTATATAGAGTCCATTGGTCCAAAATCCACTACACAGAGTCCAGGAGTCCACTCAGTTTTGATCAGCTTCATCCTGCCGCGCAATCCCCTATAAAGAGTACACTTTTTCTACAAGTCCCCTATTCATGGTCCAGGAGTCCAGTTTATCCAGTCACGCCGTCCTGTACTGTGTGTTGTGCCCGAAAGAGAACAAACACCTTTTCAGTTTTGCTTGCCTCGTGGCAGCGCATTCCTTTCTTCACTTCAGCCATGGCTGTCAGTTCTGCTGTGCAGTTGCTGACAGTAATCTGTCTCGAGGTAACCAAGGAGGATAAGGAGACGTTCAAAATCAAATCTGGAAAGCGTCTTGTGGTTCTCTGAAGACGTTTTATCAGTGCGCGGGATGAAAGCAGAAATTGCAGAACGAGAAAAGTTCAGCACAGTTCAAATCTGACGAGTCAGGTACACTGACACTCTCTTTCGTTCGACGCCACAAAGATCCCCTGTTTGGCTGGCTATTGCTGCCAGTAAGACGTTTGAACGGTTTCATCAGAGCGAGGGATGAAAGCAGAAAGCGGAGAAGGAGAAAAGTTCAGCACAGTTCCAATCTAACGAGTCAGATACACTGACACTCTCTTTCGTTCGACGCGACAAGGATACCCTGTTCGACTCGACAAGAGCTGCCTGTACCACCGTGTCAAAAGGCTGTCCAACTACATGGCAGGACGATGAATGAGGTAAGGAAGCTTTTACTCGTTTCGATTGGTCTGCTGTTCTGTCGTTATGCTTGAATTTGTTTCCATTTTCAAGGAGCGTATCGCGTTTGTTTGATGTTGCTTGAATGAATTCCCTAAAAGTAATCAACCACTTCGTAATAATCCGCGATATTCATGTTAAAACAAAATGGCGTCACGATTTATTGAAAGTGGTATAGTTGGTGGAACGAGTGTTCAAAACCATTTGAACTTCATACTGTTCATCTTCTTTTTGACATGCTCTCTTTCCATCGTCCTTAGCTTTTGTTTGTTGTGAGCTGTTTTGGCTTTCTCCTATACCTCTGGGGGATGCCAAGTGATGGTTTTGATAGGCTGGTGATGGCTGTGAGCGAGAGTTTGCCGATCGGCGTCGTCCTCGCTGTAGCGATGAAAATACTAGTTACTGCGCATCTGGCAGATATCACAACACATCGGAGCGTCCAGGAGCAAAGGAATCTTGGGTTTTCACTGGAATCTAGTTCCTCCAGCATCGTGTAGCCCACCGTCGGTGAATGGCGGTCCAGAAAGGTCGAACCTGGTCTTCTGCAGCACCTCGCAGTCCTGCGAGGCACACCGTGTACGCCTGCCATGTATTGTACAAATATAACTCATGCAGTAGTGGACTCTACAGTGATGAGTCTCAGCCTGTATGCTGCAAAAGACACAGGAAATGTGACTGGTGTCTGTACACTCAGTGACTGGACGCCAACACCCCAGTCTTCTCCTGCAGGATCTGTTTGACATTGACATTATGCAGTAGGTCGGCATTGACCTGGTTTGGCAGCTATCGTAATAGTATCTGCCTGGTTGGATGTAGCAGGTTGGCGTTTGCTCGTCGTCCAGTCCGGAATTTTCTTGTAACTCACGGTGGAGTACGCGCAGGGTTTGTGATCATCCCTGTTCACTTCAATATTATCAAACACAACGTTCCCTTTGTCACTCATCTTATCCTAAGTACTGAATTTGCTGACAATATTGCACCACACTTGTCACAACCTACCGCCACTGCTGGCGGTGGCGACTTGTTCGTCAATGGCGGTGACCAGGCTGACTGACTAGCTTCGAGACAGCGGCCTCGTTGTCAACCCCGCGACAGCCTTAAGGTTGATTTTATTCATCCAGCCTCAGCGCCATGTTGACGATGCCCTAGTGACTGTGTATTATGGATTGCCTTGCCATCAGCGGTCATTGCCGTCCACCTTGGTGCAGCCCTCAACAACTGGCTCAGCCCATGGGAGTCTCAAGTGGACAAAGTTGTTGCCAAAGTAGCTCAGAAGATTGGTGCATCGTGGTGTAGGTGAGCACATAACTAGGACTTCCCAGCGCCTATTTGTCCAGGCTGCGATACTATGTGACATGCTGTACTGCACATTCTTTTTAGCACTGCAAGGCCGGCAGCTGGACCGACTGCAGGGGCCGCGCACATGCAGGCCGCCTGTTGCCAGTGCAGCATTCTGGAACGTTCCTTCCTTCTGAGATCCGTGGAATAATAACGTTCTTTGCTTCAAAGCAAGTTGCTTACCTTTCTGTTGTGCTCCCAGTGTCCTTACAACAATAACCTACAACAATGTTTTATTTTCCTTTCCATTCCCCAACCAATGAATACTACAATGTCGATTTTATTTCTGAATACTTTAGTGTGTGCCCGCGCACGCACGTGTGTGTGTATACCTCACTCGCCACTCGAAGTTCTGTTCCCCATTACTGGAACACTGCCTGTTCTTTCAGGACCTGCCATCATCTGCGGATGGGCATTCAATGATTGTATTGTGTGTGTGTGTGTGTGTGTGTGTGTGTTTCATTCAGAATCAGATCCGCTATCGTTGCTATAAGAGAAAATCTGTGGGTTCACATCCAGTGCATTGTAGATTTGCGTGCTTTTCTCGCCACGGGCGCATACATGGGACATTGTGTGTGTGTGTGTGTGTGTTGTGTGCGTCTGTGTGTATGGGGATATTGTCTGTATCGGCTTTTTGTACTAATGTTCAGGTCTGTGCTTGCATGTGTGAACATGAAATTGTTCGGTTCTGTGCATGCTATTGCTATGTTGCATATTATTGTATGTATGTGAGCATTTCCACGAAGTGTAGATGAGCGTGGAGAGTGCATTCATCCCTCATCAACCACTTCCCCTTGGGCTTACGAGAGTTTTTTCTGCGTACTCTCATTTTTGTTTGTTTCTTTCTGATACTGTATTGATGCCGGTACCTGTACCTCGATGTGTTCCTCTATCTGCAGTCGCCTTTATCCTTCGGTCAAGTTAACGTTTATTGTGCTCTATTTATCGTGCGAATCAAAATAAACAATAATAACACAAGTCATGCTAGAGTGACGACATGTGCGTGTAGCAGGGTTGATGTGATGGGACGTTATAATTAGGTGGAACAGAACACACATTGGGCAGATCGATTGGGCACCATTGATTGTGCTCAGTCTAAACAGTGAACATAATAATTATCTCCAGTGACAGACTGTAGCGGCTAGCCTCCAATAGGTAGCTGGCACTAGTCGCTACTGCTTGTTTGACAGGTGCCGCCAGAACCCCTGTCGTGTCATGCTATAGATGCACATGCCCTATTCTGGGGAATACTGAGGTACTTTGATTTTGTTGACTGCATGTAGACAGCATCCAATAGTAGTACACGTAGACCTTGGCTCTTTGTAGGTCAACCACCATCGCATGGATCGATCGGTGACTATGCACTTGGAGGTTGGAATAGCCCTCGCTGAACAGATCTTGCCATGGCCCAGGGAGTGATTCGCTTACTCGACTATCCCGGTTTTAGTCATCCAGCATGAGTGGCGCAATTTGTCCATACCATGTTGCGAGCTCACAGTTGTTTGGGCAGGTTTTGAGCTGCACCACGAAACAAAGCGAAATAAGCGCGATTGTAGAGCAAGGAAGCGGCGAGACGGCACTTCCAGGACGAGACAGGCAGTAGAGATGTGTTCACAGCATGAGCAACCTCTCAAACCCTGCTGGTACTCCACAGTTACAGGAAAATGTGGGACTGGACGACGAGCCAATGCAAACCTGCTACATCCACCCAGGCAGATACCTGCCAAACCAGGCCAATGTCGACCCACTGCATACCGGTATGTCAATGCCAAACAGATCCTGCAGGAGAAGACTGGGATATTGGCGTCCAGTGTACAGACACTAGTCACATTTCCTGTGTCTTTTACAGCGTACAGGATAGACTCATCACTATAGAATCCACTACTTCGTGATTTTTATTTGTAGAATACATGACAGGCGTATTCAGTGTGCCTCGCAGGACTGCGAGATGCTGCAGAAGACCAGGTTCGACCTTTCTGGACCGCCATTCACCGACGGTGGGCTACACGATGCTGGAGGAACTAGATTCCAGTGAAAACCCAAGATTCCTTTGCTCCTGGACGCTCCGACGTGTTGTGATATCTGCCAGGTTCGCAGTAACTAGTATTTTCATCGCTATAGCGAGGACGACGCCGATCGGCAAACTCTCACTCACAGCCATCACCAGCCTATCAAAACCATCACTTGGCATCCCCCAGAGGTATAGGAGAAAGCCAAAACAGCTCAAAACAAACAAAAGCTAAGGACGATGGAAAGAGAGCATGTCAAAAAGAAGACGAACAGTATGAAGTTCAAATGGTTTTGAACACTCGTTCCACCAACTATACCACTTTCAATAAATCGTGACGCCATTTTGTTTTAACACGCATACGGTCCATCCTCAAGGACTACAAGGACTTTGCATCAATCGTATACGATCGTCAGCTATCATCAATTATTATTTTATTTCATGAGAAATGTATTTTTATCCCTGTGATAATTATGTGAACTCCACGACACTCTTCCTCTACTAGGCTCTAGTATGATGTCAAATACAATGGGATCCACAAACGCAGTGCCAGTGTACTACTACTAGTAGCAGTAGTAGTAGTAGTAGTAGGAGGAGGATTTCTTGTATGCCGATGACAAGAAAAAGCTTCTCAAGCTAATACATGTACTCGTATTCCATGGAGTAACCGTTTTGATGTCACAAACATGACATTGACGCCACAAGGATACCCTGTTCGACTCGACAAGAGCTGCCTGTACCACCGTGTCAAAAGGCTGTCCAACTACATGTCAGGACGATGAATGAGGTAAGGAAGCTTTTACTCGTTTCGATTGGTCTGCTGTTCTGTCGTTATGCTTGAATTTGTTTCCATTTTCAAGGAGCGTATCGCGTTTGTTTGATGTTGCTTGAATGAATGCCCTAAAAGTAATCAACCACTTCGTAATAATCCTCAAGGACTACAAGGACTTTGCATCAATCGTATACGATCGTCAGCTATCATCAATTATTATTTTATTTCATGAGAAATGTATTTTTATCCCTGTGATAATTATGTGAACTCCACGACACTCTTCCTCTACTAGGCTCTAGTATGATGTCAAATACAATGGGATCCACAAACGCAGTGCCAGTGTACTAGTAGCAGTAGTAGTAGTAGTAGTAGGAGGAGGATTTCTTGTATGCCGATGACAAGAAAAAGCTTCTCAAGCTAATACATGTACTCGTATTCCATGGAGTAACCGTTTTGATGTCACAAACATGACATTGAGTCAGTGAAACTGCCTCGTGACAACAAATCATTGCATTTCTATCTTGGGGAAGACTGACTGACGGCAACGCTGTACAGATTGTTCAAATCATCTCATTTCAATTTAGTTACAGTGAAGTGAAACACTGTGTACACTACATGTATGGTGGTGTGTCTGTGCGTCTTGAGTGTGCACAAACGACCTTATTCCTCGTATTTCTAATAGATTATTGTCCCCACCGTCACCTGTTCACAGGTCTTTGCGTGGATGGATTTTCATTGAGCATCACATTCGTTGAGAACTTGGTAGTTGTGTGCTCCCATGCATCATTACGGTAATAAGCGTATCCTTGTGCTATCTATTTGTTGCAGGTGTGCTGATCTTCAGAAGCTTGCGGAACTGAGTGCTGCTGAACATTTGCATGGCCATGAGCAATGGTGAAGCTTGCTATTGCACTCTCAGCATGTGCTAGTATTATGCTGACTATTGCACTATGTTACTCTCTTACACTACTACATTTATGGAAACGTGCGTGCATCCGCCCACGTATGCATTCGTTTCGTATAATTATTTGTTATCCCTCTTGACTTTACGTGTAAATAGGTGGACGTTTACATGGCTGTTGGAGTTGCGTGTGTATTGTGTCTCTACTCTTTTCTTGGTGTTTTCTTGGCGTTGTATAAGTTTGTGTGTGTGTGCGCGCGCGCACAATAATTTGAAAAGAAATCACGGTTCGCGTGAGACTCGGCTGGAAGCCGGGCTTTCCGCATTCCGCATAATTTGAAAACAAATAATTAATCCTTGGCTCTCCATTATTCTCTTTCAATTCTTGGTTTTTTTCTAGGTATTTTCTTGGTGTTGTGTGGGTGTGTGCATGTGTGTGTGCGTGCACAATACTTTGGCAACACTACATGATTGAGATATTGTAATTTGCAGCGTCTGCGAAGAGACCACTTGATTTGAGGATGGTGTTTGTAGGGTTTTTCATGTAATGAAGTGGCTGCAGTGGCGCCTCAATACTTGTTTTTTATCTTGAGAAGTGAATGATGTAAAGGATTAAAGGGAGAGGCCGTTATCTGGTTAATATTCACTGCTTACAGCAGATCCTATGTCTAATTTCGAACTCTGGATAGGGGATGCCTAATTGGCTGGACTCTATACAGGGAGTGTTGTCCACATAAAGACTCTTTATAGTTGTGTTAGGTACCTCCTCCCGTACCTTTTCTAGCTGGCCTGCATGCACTTACGTACTCACCTTTTGTCTCCTTTTGTTCCGTTGGCCTGGGTAGCTAGTTGCGCGCCCATATTTGCCATAGCTACCCAGGCCCTTTATCTTGCCGTTCAGACTTGATCTCTGACTCTCTCTTTTCTCACTCTTCAATGTAGTCGTTTCGTTCGTCTTGGTCTCTTGTCTCGTCGTCTACTAGTATAATAAATGTCGTTCCCACTAACCTGTTCCCGTTGTAATGTCTGGATATGTCGTCAGTCGTCCTGTTTCGAACTCAACATTGGCGCCCGATTATTGATCGACCCACGACCCTGAGATCATCCCATGCCCAGCCGTCCTCAACCACCATTCGTCTCGTCTATGTCAACCTCGTCTCGTCCATGTCAGTCTCGTCTCTCCTACGCCAACCTCGTCTCGTCTCTATCAACCTCGTGTCTCCTACGCCAACCTTACCTCGTCTATTCTCGTTCAAGCCATGCAGGTCAGCTACCTTTCTCTCTTTCTTTTTTTTGTATGCTTCTTCGTCAAATTTATTTTCGGGAATTTTTTTGTAGTGTGTGTGCCCGCGTGTGTTCGTAAAACATAACCAAGTTAGGGGTCCGATCATGGTGAGCCACGCTCTAATTTTTGGATGTTTAGCAAAAGTGTAACTAGGCTGTATTAGCCGTGCAAAATACTAGTAATTCACGTTCCTCGTCAAACTCCAATAGTTATTACACACAATAAGTAGTACAGGAATGATGTGTACGAGTGCATTTTTAGTACACACTTTCGTGAGATCCATGCGCGCGTGCAGTATGTGTGTGTGTGTGTGTTTTCTCCTCCAGTTCATTTTTTTAATCTTTTTCTCTCTTTTTTTCTCTCCGCGAGGATGCGGGATTTTTTTCATGGAGGGGTTGTATGTTAGGTACCTCCTCCCGTACCTTTTCTAGCTGGCCTGCATGCACTTACGTACTCACCTTTTGTCTCCTTTTGTTCCGTTGGCCTGGGTAGCTACTTGCGCGCCCATATTTGCCATAGCTACCCAGGCCCTTTATCTTGCCGTTCAGACTTGATCTCTGACTCTCTCTTTTCTCACTCTTCAATGTAGTCGTTTCGTTCGTCTTGGTCTCTTGTCTCGTCGTCTACTAGTATAATAAATGTCGTTCCCACTAACCTGTTCCCGTTGTAATGTCTGGATATGTCGTCAGTCGTCCTGTTTCGAACTCAACAGTTGATTGCAAAGTTTGGACTCCGTACAGTTGATTTTGGACCAATGGACTCTATATAGGGGTGAAGCCAATTGGCTGGACTCTATACAGGGAGTGATGTCCATCTAAACTTTGAGCTCACAGTTGATTCCAAGTTTGGACTCTGTACAGTGGATTTTGGACCAATGGACTCTATATAGGGGTTGGACATCATATAGGGGCTGGACGCTCTACTGAGCCCAAAATATAGGTAAGTAGGTAGGTAGGTAGGTTGGTAGGTGGGTAGGTACGTAGGTAGGTAGGTAGGTAAGTATATTGTATGTAGATACATGTAGGTATTACAAAGCAGTATGTAAGGGTTTTTCTTGAGTGCCACGTGCTGTCGCGTGACTAGATCTCTTGGTGAGTTTGCTTCAGATCGCCTGTTGGATTGGTGTGATCACCTGTTGGATTGATGTGTTTGGTAATAAATTGTACGTCACCAATACCCCTTCCGTATTTTGAGGACTGTGGCCCAGAATCAAGTTTGTGTTGTTCCTATAATTTGATCGTGTCTATAATATTTGATTTGGAATTTCCATATACATAGCTTTTCTACATTAATTTGCTTTTTTCTGCTTCGCAATCGTGTTCTTTCAAATGAAGATTTAAGTAGGTAGGTGGTAGCGGACGAAACTGACAGTTTATCCATGTGTCCTGACCAAAGCGACTATGTAGTTATGTACATAAACTGAGTGAAAAGATTGGAGGTGCACATGGATACGAGCGATCGCATTGATGATAATTGAGGGATAAATCGCTCTCGTATCAATTTGGTTTCATTATCCGCAAATGCTTATCACTGATTCTGGATTGTTTGGTTGACTGCTGCTCTTCTGTAGATCAAGTTCAAAGTTGCCTTGTCCGCAATCTATCACTCGGACGTCATGGTTGGATGGGATCGAAGTAAGGCATGCATCCCTATTGATTCTTACTCACAACATATAAGGAACTATACAAAGGCCAAAAAGATGCCCCTCGGAAGTTGACCTTTCTAGGGAAAATGGTGGAAAAGGAAAATTGACATACTAAGACGGAAGGGAGGGACATATTTGTATTGTATTGTATTGTATTTATTTAAAAGGATTCTCCAAAAGCAAATGGATGCTTATCACGGAAGTCTCCCACATAAATATCGCAAGAAAAATTTGTGCAGGCAATTGACACCACGGCCCCCAGTGTTGTTTGTTTGGACTTTCAATGGAATTGCGCAATCATTTCGGGTTGAGACGTCACGTGGATGATCTGTGTTGTATAGTGCCGAAATATGCTGGAGCGAGTTGGGGGTAAAGGGAGGGAGGTGACGGGTACGGGATGGGAATCTATGCAGCCTCATTCAGCGTCCTCTAATTTCTCTCTCGATACAGCAGCCGCCTCCTGACATGAGAGCAGCGACATGCGTTACTACCAGTAACAGTTTTTTGCTTTGTCATGCTACAACCATTCAATGTGGTGAACCCCTCTCTAGGCGATTTGCCTTTGGGTCATCCTAAACGAGAGAGCTTGGAAGCTCAGGGCCCTACGCTATGCTTTTTTGCCTTGATGATCTAGACAAAAAAAAGCATAGTGATGTTATATATTCTTATAAAAAATCCTTTTTTTTAAGACATAACCTGGGATTCGAACCCGCACTATCGCGCGCCCTGCATGCATCCCTGATACACTTCGCATACATACTAATTCTTGCAAGTTGTTTCACATTGTGATCTTGCATTTGAAAGCCCTATTTGAATATGCATTGTGGCCAGCCGTCTTTGATGGCACGGTACGGTAGGGGATAGGTACGGGACAGGTACGATCGAGGGTAATACGACACCGTCTCCCGTACCGTACCATCAAACACAGCTGGCCACATACAGCTGCCCGCAATATTCAAATAGGGCTTTCAAACGCAAGATAATAACGTGAAGCAACTTGGAAGAATGGGTATGAATGCGAAGTGCATGGGGGAATGCATGTAGGGCGATAGTGCGGGTTCAAATCCCAGGACATGCCTGAAAAAAATAGGAGAATTGAAAAATTTATAACATCCTATGCTTTTTTGCCGATACGGATAGCGCCAGGCGTGACACAAACAAACAAACAAACACACAAACAAACAAATACCAAACGAGAGAGCTTGGAAGCTCAGGGCCCTATGCTATGCTTTTTTGCCTTGATGACCTAGACAAAAAAAAGCATCGGGATGTTATAAATTCTTTAAAAAATTCCTTTTTTGTAAAAACATAACCTGGGATTCGAACCCGCACTATCGCGCCCTGCATGCATCCCCCGGTCTTTGAAAAAATCCTTTTTTTTAGACATAACCTGGGATTCGAACCCGCACTATCGCGCCCTGCATGACTCCCCCGGTCTTTAAAAAATTCCTTTTTTTAAGACATAACCTGGGATTCAAACCCGCACTATCGCGCCCTGCATGCATGACCCGGTCTTTGAAAAATTCCTTTTTTTTTAAAGACTTAACCTGGGATTCGAACCCGCTCTATCGCGCCCTGCATGCATCCCCCGATACACTTCGCATACATACTAATTCTTCCAAGTTGCTTCACATTATGATCTTGCATTTGAAAGCCCTATTTGAATATGCATTGTGGCCAGCCGTCTTTGCTGGTATGGTACGGTAGGGATATAGCTGGCCACATACAGCTGCCCGCAATATCCAAATAGGGCTTTCAAACGCAAGATCATAACGTGGAGCAACTTGGAAGAATGGGTATGAATGCGAAGTGTATGGGGGAATGCATGTAGGGCGATAGTGCGGGTTCGAATCCCAGGATATGCCTGAAAAAAATAGGAGAATTGAAAAATTTATAACATCCCTATGATTTTTGCCGTCAGATACGGGATAGCGCCAGGCGTGACACAAACAAACAAACAAACACACAAACAAACAAATACCAAATTAAAGCTGTGTGGACCCTGGCTAGCGCCAGACGTAACTGAAGTAACGTCTTCTGCATAGCTACGGGAATACAGTTATCATTATAAACAGTCCCCTTCTTGTCTTCCTAAACGAGAGAGCTTGGAAGCTCAGGGCCCTGCGCTATGCTTTGTTGCCTAGCTCATCGTGCATGTTGTTAGAACTGATGGAAATGCTTTTTACTTTGATTAGCTACATCATCCGCACTATTGTTTTTACTTCCTCCGTATACAAAAACTTCGTGACTTTTTTTGCACGGTGTTTTTGAGCAAGAACCTGCTCAACGAACGGCGCCAAAGGCTGTCATCGACAACCCACGTCCATGTCGAGGTGAGTTTGGTTGATCCCGAACAGATTTTCCACGTACGCCATGCGTGTGAGGACATTGCCGACAGAAACTCAAGAGTCAAATGAAAAAAAACTAACACTTACTTGCTCGAAACTGACACAGTGACGAAGTGTAGCTCGTGGCTGGAACACGAAGTCACGCGGCACTCGCTGCCCTGAAACTGGCCAGGCTCGTACTTGCGGTGCGCGGCCCCATATCCATGATATCTACGCAGCGTGAGAACATCGATTTGTTTCGCTCGCACGGCAAGATGAAACATCTCAGTCGTCGTGCAACCAGCGCAGACTCAGGATCAGAATGTCGATGGCCTGGCTTTCTTCGCCTCTCTCCAGTCAGACGCCTCCTTTGTCGCCAAGGGGAATCGCAGGGACCTCCTCGAAGCCATTGTAGAATGCTTGGGAGGATTTTCCTGGCGAGAAAATGCGAAGCGTGGGGATGTGCTTGTACGACTCGTTTCACGGCATAATGGAGGTTGCGGGTTGGAACAACTGAATATAGTTGACACCGATTCGTACACAGCTCTAGAGATGAAGAGGACGTAGCCAAAGTCCAGCGTCGGATCATCACTGCAGGTGACAAGAATCTGAACGAAATGCGAGCGGAAGCAGCGACTGTTGGCGATGCGGAGTCTGCGTCGTCAGGTGACAATGACATGAGCGACGAAGACTCTGAAAAAACTCAATCTCATTCGTCTAAGTTGCTTTTTTCTTTGTATATAGCTTGTAAACAGGTTAGACAATGCCACGAGTGTTATTCCAAGTCAAACGGAACAATTTCAGAGCTGTGCGCAGCTTTCCAAAAAAAGTCACGAAGTTGTTGTATACGGAGGAAGTAAGATTAACATCATTATTACTTCTGCATATGCATTACATACTATGATCATGCTGGCTTCATCCCTTATCTCCTAAGCTACCCCCCCCCCCCCCCCCGGTGCGTCTGCCCAGTGTTGACTCCGAGACCCACAGTCGGACGAGCTGCCCAGGCCTCACCACCATTGCCGGTTCCGTGCTGCCTTCTCGATACATACGTATGTACACTGTATATAATGTGCACATTCACATGTCTGAAGGTTTGTGGTTTTTCAATAAAAAAATAAATAAAAAAAATCATTGTATTGCAAAAACGTTTCAATGAGATACTGAAGTACAAGTAACGTCTTCTGCATAGCTATGGGACCGGCGCTGACTCTCACGGGCGTTCTGGAGTCGACGGGATGTCTGTCCTGACGTTTCCTGGGACCGGCGCTGACTCTGCCGATCACGGGCGTTCATCTTCTTATTATTATTATACTGACGGCAACTAACATCCATTCTGATTGCATTTACTCGTCTCCCAACTTCTTTTTTTCCAGAAAATCTCCCCATACAGCAGGGAGTCGTTTACATAATATGACTCCCTGCTATATATCTACATGACTGTATATACGTTATAATTATTATGCTATCGGCCTACATGCGATTCCCGGGCTGGTCGACAGGCGGCCCAGCCAGCCTGCTAGTGGGATCTCGGCCTCGCACACAAATCCACACAAAATATTACTGTACTGAATGGTTCCCCCGATACACTTCGCATATATACCGTAAAGTACCGCCAGAGCGCCCCACCATCTCATCCTTTCGTGGTCGTATTGTGGAGGTGGTCTGCTGTCTGTAGGTCATACGACATGAACCTTGTACACATATTGCACGTTTTGCAGTCAATCCGTACCTTCAAGAGGACACAAGCTCCACACAAAAACCTGCCAAGTGTGACCTTAGTACACTATGATTCTCACATCGTACACACTTCGTTGCACTCTGCCATACGATTTTCCTTTCTCTGGCTGTAAAATCAAGGTGGGGCGCTCTCGCGAGACGGGGCGCTCTGGCGGTACTTTACGGTACTCATTCTCTTGATGGTGCCGTACTCTTGATGGTACGGGACAGATACGGGATAGCGCCAGGCATGTCGATGGCACAAACAAACTAAAATATTGTGGCCAGCTGTCTTTGCTGGTACGGTACAGTAGGGGACAGATACGGGATAGCGCCAGGCGTGACACAAACAAACAAACAAACAAACAAACAAACAAACAAACACCAAATTAAAGCTGTGTGGACTCTGGCTAGCGCCAGACGTAACTGAAGTAACGTCTTCTGCATAGCTACGGGAATACAGTTATCATTATAAACAGTCCTCTTCTTGGGGAACTGGACGTTGATGTCGTTTCTAATAATAATAATAATCTTAATGTTCCTAGTCGAATTTCACTGGACTTTCCGAATCTTGTACTTTTTTAAGCCATCCTAATGTCTTTTAAGGTGTCTTACATTCTGGCATTAAGATCGGTGAAGGGAACACGCCCATTCCAAAGGACACCTGAAAATCCAAATTCGTTTATCAACAGTACTTCTACAATTGGCCATCGCCAGAAGACATAATAATTATTGTTTGTCCGAGGATGGAGGCATTAGTATACACAATACATCTACAAGTACGTATCTAATTTGGACCCCAATGCCATTGAAATACCCGCGGGAATTATCTTCCTAGACTGTTCAGTGACATCTTATAACCTCTCTTTATCTATTACAGTAAAACCTGTTAAGGCGACCACTCGGATAAGGTGACCACTCGGATAAGGCGACCACCTGTCCAAGAAGACCATTACAACCAAGACCAAGGGACTTTATTCCCAATCAAATGACCCTGGATAAGGAGACCACCTGGTTACAGAGACCACGTTTTCAAGGTCCCTTGAGTGGTCATCTTAGACATGTTTCACTATAATTATACCGGTTCACGGACATGAACAGAGGCAATCGAAGCTGCACACTTTGAGGGGCGGTTGTTGGCCTTACTAAGATGTGTGTATGCGTGTGTGTGTATGTGTATGTGTGTATGCGTGTGTGTGTATGCATATATGCGTGAATATGTCTGTGTGTGTTTGCGCCTTTGTGTGTCTGCATCTGTCTAGGAAGCCGTTCCATTCTAGCTGTTTTCCTCCTCATCCTCTTTGTGGCGTGCCTGATAGGCGGAGCGGTCCTGATTGCTGAGGGAGTCAACGCTGAACCATATTATGAGGGTGGGATCCGAATTGCGTGGGGAGTTGTTTGCTTGCTCATTTGTATGCCTTTTGGCCTCGCAGGCTGTGTGCTTGGGTGTCAGGTCCGAATTGAGAGTCAAAATTTCAACAGAGCTCTGCGGCAATGTTCCCATGAAAGCGCAAGTATAGCCCAGCCAGTTAGAAAAGGAACTGCTGCAGCTGCTGTTCCCGGCGCCGCCGTCATCCCGAACGCAATCATCCTACCCACTAACAATCCAGTTGGGCCGGTAATGGCCATGCCAGTCACACATCCTGCTTAACAATTACATTATATTGTGGCATACGACTACTGATCCCGAACACAACATGAGCAGCGACAGGCGTAGCAGCACCAGCAACAGGAGCAGCAACAACAGCCTCAGGATGAGCAAACCACCGCATCCGTCCCCTCTGCGCCGCTGTTACTGGAATCTGCCAGGAACGATGCTCCTCCGAGCTATTCACAAGCATTTGCCACTGAAGTCTTAAGTGACTGACACAAAAGAACTGTTCACACCTTGTTTGTACTACGGAACAGGTACATGTAATAATAATAATAATAATAACTTTATTAGGAAGACCCAAAGGCTGACCGCCTATCGTGGGGTCCGTCGCATTCAAGGATGTATGATGACACATTGTGTTGCCCGAACCATGATTAACGTGAAACTTGGAGGTACACCACCATGCACTGTACAATGTACATGCAAGTCTTGGCTCTTCTCTCACTTCTGTCTGCTTTATAATAGTCTTAGCATTCTACAGCAGATATCTCTTGATTGGATTGCAATAGAATCGTCTTAGCTTGCTGGCAATCCGGTACATTTGAAATCTAAACGTGTATCATATACACTGTAGGGTTCGGGTTCGAAGCTTCCCAGATGTTTCTTTAAAAATTAATGCATATGACACCTCGCTTTCAAGAAACACTGCGAAGTTCACTTATCTTGGACTTCTCCGGGGCCAATTGTTTCGTATACGTGCGTCAAGCCAAATCTTTTATTATTAAGTTGCGTTTCCCAACCCTTTCAGCAATGTGTAGAACAACAGTGCTAAAGCAGTTCCCCATACCCATTCCATGCAAGTAAGGCGGAGAACTCAGTGATGACAAATTGTGGCACACAATAGTTTTAAAGTAGGTCACCGTTGCTTGTCTAGTTGTCCGTTTGGTCTCCAAACAGTTCCAGCATACACATCAAGACTGTTTGGACTTGAATGTAGCGGTAGCTCGTGGCCTGGCATGAGTAAAACATGGATGTGGCAAATGGGATTTAGGCCTTTGGCCTATGGTTGGTGGATCTGATCTATCCTCCCTCACCGTTTAGGAGCCGCATCTGACGCCTGATCATGGGGTGGTGGCGTCCCACGGAAGCGGAAAGGTGGTTCTTGACCAGGGAGTTGTACGACTCCTTGTTCTTGACTTGCCCGGTACGCGAACCCGTCGAATGTCGAATGCTAGTTCAGATCGCAATACCACACTATACGAGGGTGCAACCCACAATCGGTCCAACACCACACAAGACCATTAATCACCGGACCACACCACACTGCATTCAATGGTCATTGACCATGTGCCGTATATGTAACGGTAGATTATTCTTAAATCTTTTTAATATCACTGCCCCACCGGGTAATGAAAACGGGAGAACAAAAGAGAACAATGAACGTGAAAAGGACAGTAAAGAACAAAATTTGAAAGGTGGGTGCTTCAGGGTAGCCGTGTTGGTGAGTCTGAGGGCGCTGCACTGGCCATCGGTCTCAGCATCAGCATGCCACGACAGCTCCAGAAAAAGAGAAAAAATAAATGAAGCAAGACGAGTGGAAGGTGCGACGTGCTCCTCGTGTGCTCCGAATGGCAGTCGTGAGTCAGTCAAGTGTCAAGTTCGGCAAGAAGCGTGTGTTCCTAGTTGGAACAATCAACTAACAAAATAGAGCAGTTGGATCCTTTATCTGCAGACGATGCATATGTATACGGGGAAAGAAGAAAAAAGAAGAACAGATAAGACTAAAAAGGTCACGTGTCAATAGCATGGATACGGCCCCAGCAAGATACAAGATAGATAAGATGATACGAGGAGGAAAGAAATTGTGTGATCAGAGGTGATCAGTTGGCCAAGTTCAGCGAGTTCGCCGGAGCCTCCCCCCCCCCCCCGACATGTTGGTATGCCTTAGTTTTGACTGTCTGCAAGAACGTCAGGGTGAGTGCAGTGTGTAACACATTACAGGGCAGACCATCCCAGGCTTCAATGGTACAATGGCGAAACTCCCTGAGGAGCCGGTCGGGAGTGGACGCGGGCAGGTCAAGAGCTACAAGTAGCTGGTGGCTGTGAGGCGGTTGCTGTTGGGCTCTGGTTCGGTGTTTAGCAACTAGAGTTTCCCTGGGAAGAACCATGGCGAGCACTTGGGGCGGACCGTACAGGCCCTGAATCTTGTAAAGTTATGTAAGAGTATACACCATCCTCCGGGCAGCCAAACTTTGCAGCAAGGCACCTGGGCCAATGAATCGGAGGGCTCTATGCTGGACGCGGTCAAGGAGGGCGAAGTTGCACTGTGCTGATCCAATCCACGTGAGCGGGGCATACTCCAGAACTGGCCGTAAGAAGTAGGGCTCAAACGGTTAGTCCGATTAACCGGTTGCAGACCGATTACGAAGAATTAACGGTTAACCGATAAAGATAACGGTTACGCAGTAACTTTTCAGTCAATTTTTCAAGTATCAGGTCGTTGCAAAGTATGCAGTTTCGCGGGCTGTCGCACGCGTACAAAATTTCTGGCCTGTCAACTTGGTCATATCTGGTCTCTTGGTGTGAGAGTATGTATAAATGAGCATGCAAGAGAATGTACAAGTGTGCGTTGTACTAAATAGGGTACATTTTTTTGAATGAGTATAGTCAAATATACGGTTAAAAAAGAGTCCGCAGGATTGCCGTGGCTTATAGGTTATAACCGGTTAACCGACCGTTAGCTTAGCAGTTAACCGTCAGGGGTAAAACCGTGACCGTTTGAGCCCTAGTAAGAAGCCACGATATGTGGTCAGGAAGCCCAACCTGGAGGTTAGGCCTTGACGGATTATGTTAATATTTTCGTGAAATTATGCTTTTCGCATTGCTGAAAAAATTCCCGAATTATGCTATTTTTATGCTAAAATTTATCATAATATTATGCCGCATTATGCTCACATACATGTATGCTGCTAATGTACATGATGGTTCTGTGCAAAATAACAGGGGAATTTTTGTAGAGGGCGTTGTACATGTACTGCAGTAGCAAAAGTTCAACGGGGTCAACGCACCGTCCGACCTAGCTACGAACGTCACTGATTGTAGTTGACTGGACATACATGTATTATCAAGGGAGTCGTAAACCTACGACTTCCTGGTGCATCTACTTGTACTTATACTTGTAGAACATGATTGTACAACTGTATGGAATTTGATGCGAAAAGGCGGATTATTCCAATTTATGCGATTCGTATGCAATTAGCCTAGAATTATGGGATTATTCGATTTTGGTAGGAATTATGCGAAAAATTATGCTAGCATAATCCGTCAAGGCCTACTGGAGGTGGCACGAAGTGCGACATTCAGGAGGTGATTGTATCGTGGCAGCCGCGCTCAGAGGATGCTACCCAGCCGTTACATACCAGTCGCACCGCTGCTATGGAAAGGTACAACCCTATATACACATGTATAGGAATGAAATCATTGTCTTTCTCTGAAAGTAGTGCAAGGTTCATCGGCGAATGTCAGAGACTGCATGAGTTTTACGTAGCTTCTATTAAGGTGGCAGACTACCCAAAAATTCGCTGAAAAATCGAATTTGTAAATTCATATTGAGTGCTACGTCAGTTGAAAGAGCATGAATAGCTGCAAATTCTCTGAAATGTGTCCCGATCTGACCAGCCGTTCAAGAGTTATGGCCGAAAGTACGCCCTTGCAAGGAAAGATTTTTTTGTTCCACGCTGCCATTTAATTTTGTTGGCAGCACAGTATTTGAATGTGAGCAGACCGTGCGCAACATCATGGAAACACGCGAAAGTGTGCAGAATTTTGCTCGAAGTCCAAAAAAGTCCAAAAAACCACGTTAAAAAAACCACGTATTGCGCCGTGTAGCAGGACTTTTGCCAGCACCCTCGTGACGTTGCAGATATGTGGCTTGATTATTGTAGTTGACGTTGATTTAGTGACTTTGGCAAGTTTGAGTCATGTCAAGAAGTCAGGTAGGATTCAGTACTAGGCAGTAGTGAAACGTGAGTGGTAGTCCTTGCCGGTTTCTGAGGGTATCCTGGATTTGGTGTGCAGCGCTGTGGAAATGGCTTGTTGTGGACGTCCCAGCACTGGATGTTGTACATATATCAAAGGTACGACCTCGTAGCACGTGCTAAACCTAGAAAAATTCAAAAATTGACTTGTGTCTGTGTGAGTCTGTGAGAGAACGCCCACTCGTTCCGTTGTGACAGATTCCAGGGCCTCGTTGAGGGGCCCTACCCCATCACCTATGGCTGCTTCTGGACTTGTTTTAGGTTTGGGTCCCGCGCACGGACAGAATGGGCACGAAAATGTGAAAAAAATTGTAAATGCATTTGTTTGGCTCCTATGTGGCTCGCACACCGTGGCACTATGCCGGAAATTTGGGTTTTTCCGGCCTGGAAAGCCTGTCAGTGAGGCGCAAGAACTTGTAAATCATGTCCTGAGGGCCAGCATAGTGGCAGTAGTGTGTGGTCAAAATTTCCCTCCAATCCATTGAGAAAAACCAAAGTTACGGTCAATTGAATGCCATACGGCATCTTGCCCCCACAGCCTTTCTACTTCTATTATAAAGGTTTTGTCCGACCCGCCCTGGAACACGCCACCTCGGCCTGGTCCTATGCCAGCACCAAAGCTGAGCTGGAGCGTTTAAATATTTTACAAGCCAGATTAGCTAGGAAGTATTTGCTACGTAAAAAAGTCAATGTAGATAGATGGGAAACGAAATCCCAGTTAAATGCTCTTTGTGACTTAGAGTCCTTGCACTTTCGCAGACAAGTATCAGCTCTTGTTACTCTATTTAAACTTATACATATATCTCCAGAACACCTCCAACATTTTCAACTTTCATTGTCTTCAAGTCCAAGAAGACCAAACAAACTTAACATCAATTATCACGGTGTGCGTTTTTCTTCCCTCTTTTCCAACAAAGCTGCAATGGTATGGAATTGCCTACCGCCTTCTCTTACCGCTATAACCAGCCTCCCCGAATTCAAGCAATCTCTCTATCAGCATTTTCGCCGATATATTCATTACACTGACGGTATCCCAACTCCAGATTTTGTATGCCTCGATCTATTTCCTTAGCCTATCCTCGATTAACTGCTCCCTCTACATAAAGTTGTCATTTCATTCTTCTTGCAGGCGATCCCCTCGACAGGCCCAAAGCCTTTGGGAAATCCTTAACCCTTTGCGTGCTGAGTACGAGTTAACTCGCACTTTATGCATGACCTGATCCACTACGTACGAGTTAACTCGCAAAAAATTCGCGCGATATATCGCAGTGCATAGACCAGTGTACAAACTTTCGTAACGTCGTCAAACATAAACGCACCGCAATAATCAATACTTCGTTGGAAAGGTCTTGGCCTCCTCTTTCCGGGGATATACAGTTCTTCGCGATAGGATAAGAATTCATTGAGCGGCGACAAGATGAACACGGAAATCACGGCCCAGAGTGAACGCGAATTTTTTTGTTCATGAATTCTTTTTGTTGAGGAGCGCGCCAGGGGATTTCCCTTTGGCACGGCGCATGCGTGATGGACATCAAATGAAGCGCTTGGATCTGAGCTTTACAGCGCAGTTTGAATTGTGAAAATCTGTTGAATTTGGGCAAGAAGCCGAACAAGAATGTGAAATTGAGTTGTGGTGCCGTTCCGAGGCGCGGTGGAGTACATGTAGTTTGGAGAGGACGTGGAAGTGGCCCTGATGTGGCTATGGAGCTGAGAGCTGCCAGGATGGATTCGCTTGGTCCTCACCTTTCCAACGAGCCCAGGACGATGAAAATCCATCAAGGTGGAGTGAAATGAGAATAAATTTCGTTCGGAGCTGTGAGGGCATACTCCTCCAAGAGAGTCAGTGCGCTTTAAATATAATAAAAGACAAATATGAAATTTATGGGTAGGCTGCCCCCTTAAGCAGCCTACCCATAAATTTCATATGGCATTCAATGGGCCGTAACTTTGGTGTTTCTCAATGGATTTGAGTGAAATTTTGACCACACACTCCTGCCACTATGCTGGCCCTCAGGACATGTAGGGCCCCTCAACGTGGCCTTGGAATCTGTCACAATGGAACGAGTGGGCGTTCTCTCACACGACTCAAACTTGCCAAAGTCACTAAATCAACGTCAACTACAATAATCAAGCCACATATCTGCAACGTCACGAGGGTGCTGGCAAAAGTCCTGCTGCACGTCGCTCAAAAACGTGATTTTTTGGACTTTGGAAAAGCTAAAGCAGTCCCCCGTAGATCCACCCATTCTATGAACTTGAGACGGAGATCTCAGTGAGTCAGTGCTTCCAAGTGTTTGCACCCCAGGGCAAAGGTAGTTGAAGTGCATGGAGGTCGCCATTGCTTGCGTAGTCGAACTTTTGCTCTTCCAACAGTTCGACCATACTAATCTAGACTTACTGTAACGTATCCCATCGCTGCCACCAATTCTGTAGCGGGCCGCAGTCTCTCTCTCTCTCTCTCTCTCTCTCTCTCTCTCTCTCTCTCTGAGGTAAATGCACACGGGTCTCAGTGAACACACTGTTAATAATAATTATTATTACTGAACTAAACGGAAGACTACATTGTAAACATTAACTCTGACTTTAACTCTAAACTGACGTTTCTAACTGGCATCTCTAACTGGCGTTTCTAACTGGCGTTTCTAACTGAACTGTAGAGAATTGTGACCAGCAGGTTTTATAGGCAGACAGCATACATGTACATGTACGTGCTGCAACAGCAATGGTCACGGCAAAGCTCAGCAGAGAGAAGAAGAAAGGTCAAAGTAGATGTGTGGGCTACAGTCATTGCACAAGGAATGCCATTTGATTCTATGCAGAAGAAGGAGCTGAATGCAGTGTGGGCAATGGGTGTAAAGAGGCGGTTGAAAGTGCAGCAGTATTTCTAAGGTCAATATGTGAATGCAGTGAATGCAGAATGCAGTGAGACTACTAGTACTAGTACTAGTTAGTTACTATCCATGTCATGACTCATGGATCTGCAAGCAAGGACTAAAAAGGTAAGAGTTGCAAGTGCGGGGTGCGGCGCGGTGCAACACGCGTGACCAATACATTGAAAGTGATTCACGCTGCAGCTGTGTGAGTTACAAGTGTGCCAACGCTACGTTACTAGTACTACAGTGCTGGCAACTGAAATCCAAGGGGGTCGGATTTCAGTTGCCAGCACTGTAGTACACTTAGCCGTAGCCGAGATCGAAAGGGCACACTGCAGGAGGTTACAACTACTGAGTACTTGCATTCCGTCCAACACCATACGAGGGCTACCCCACACTTGCTGCACACTTCAAGCAAACACAGTCTGGAAGTGGCACGAAGTGAGACGTTCCCGAGGTGATTGCATGGTGTCAGCCGCGCTCTGACCGTGCTACCCAGCCTTTTCGGCTTCTACTAAGCTAAGCCAGGCATGGTACCATGTACCAGCCAGTCGCACCACTGCTATTGAAAAGTACAACACGGCGCACAGGTATGAAATCACTTCTCTTTCTCCGAATGTGGTGCAAGGTTGATCAGCGATTGTTAGAGTCTCCATTTGTTTTACGAAACTTCTAATAATAACACAGGCCGGTGAACTAGCTGCAGGGGAAGAGCGTCTGCGTGAGGTCTTCCAACAAGTTCAACAACTGAAGGCTATGCAAAGACTGCATTGATTTTTGCTGTCAACAATTCGGTGAGTGTTTCTCCAGTAGTCCGAACAGTTTTGCTGAACATACATGTATGTTCTTGGTCCGGCTCATCGCAAATGTCGCTTATTAAATATCTATCGCCACTATTAAAGAATAGGAATTTTTTTTACCGCTCTGTGAAATTTCCAACAGGCATAGTGAGGAAGCATGATACATGAATACTCTCCGCCACAAGAAAAATATTTCAGCAATGGAATCAGGTGAAGCGAGTCGAAGAAAGGAAGCAAGGTAAGCAAAATGAACGAAATAAATAAGCCAAGGAGCGCGTTCTTGCACTCACACTAGTAATACAGCTCCAGAGTTCATTCAACTCTGCATCTGTCGCCGCGCCGTTACATGAGCTGACATTTGCTGGTGTCTAGCTGCTAGCTGGCGTAGATTGGTAGAGTATCTCTTGCGTTCTCAGCCTATCGGATGGCAGCAATGGGAAAGAAACAGTTGTGGCTGTCACTTCCGTGCTTGAAGAAACCTGGGCAGTGTGACCTGTGTGTCACCACAGTGTGTTTTAACAAAGCCTTCGAATGAGGCGTACAGGCCTCTCCAGACAGCTGTCATACGCTCCGCTGAATAATCTGGACACGACTCTTGTAATGCGGCTGCTAGGTCCACCAAGAGAAGGAACAACCAACACGTCGGCCGGGCGCATCGCATCAAAAACACCTTTCTTCTTCAGCTTGACGCTCATACTCCTCTTCCGTGCACGCGTGCCTGTCACCCTCTCCAGGCCAGGATGTCATTTGCCCCTGCCACAGTTCCGGTCTTCGGGTCGCTGCGCTTGGCTTTTGGCAACACAGACAGTGAATGGCCAGATTCCCACTTCCAGAAAAAGTCGAATACATCGCGGTTCAAAGCGCTACAATCGCGATCATTTTTTCTTTGGTGCCTCCTTTGATCTTGCCATCACGATCTCCTAAGCCGAAGTAAGTTAGATATCGTGATTGGACTGGGTTTTACCTGTCAAAAAGTGCGTGGGAGATATGCCGGACCAAGTACTATGTTATTAGTTTGACAGCATGAAACAACAGAACTAAATATTGCGATAGAGCTTTCGGCCATATTTTCAATGCATTCCCAACTCATCACAGCCACGCGCTCTTCAGCCGAACCATACAGACACCAGCAAGGACACTTCCGTTGAGAGATAATATTGCTCCACGCCCCTAGACAGCTGTTTTGCTCCCTGTCGGAGCTCATCAGTAGAGGATGATAATGATGATAATGGAGGAATGATCATTCTTATACACCAGAAATGGCGCAAGTGCGCGCTTTCCACATTTTATCAATGGCATATGCAAGCTGCTAAAATGGTAAAGTGTGAGAAGAGCGATAAATAATAATAGTACGCGCTCATTGGTGGAGAAACACACCACACAGGCGACGAAAATCTTACGCGGAATACTGATGCCAATGGAAAGTGCATGTATGTTGTTTATTATTATGATGTTGCAATGTCCATGTATGCAGGCCAGGCGAGACTCACCGCCGAGATCCCCCAACGCGACAGGCTCGGTTGCCGTTCAGGATTCACACCGACCTGTCCGCCCGTCAACAGGATCGACAGCGGGAGGCCCCACTGATGCCGATGTCGATGCACACCAGGAAACTTGTAGTCGTGAGTGTGATACTAACAGGTCCATCGGCAACCACTGACAAAAGAGAGGCCAGCTGGGGCATTCACTCCAGTCAGGGATGCTTGGTCGACGCTTCGTATCAGCAGCTCATTTTGATCAAACAAAGATGTTGCAGATGTGTCTTGCTTTTCTCCTTCCTTCTTCACCGACTCGTCTTGTCATCTCTCCCTTCTTTCTTCACCGACTCTTCGTGTCCACTCTGCTCTGCCACTAACGGCGCATAAAAACTTCAGAACTAAATATTGCGACAGAGCTTTCGGCCATATTTTCAATGCATTCCCAACTCATCACAACCACGCGCTCTTCAGCCGAACCATACAGACACCAGCAAGAACACTTTCGTTGAGAGATAATATTGCTCCACGCCTCTAGACAGCTGTTTCGCTCCCTGTCGGAGCTCATCAGTAGAGGATGATAATGATGATAATGGAGGAATGATCATTCTTATACTCCAGAAATGGCGCAAGTGCGCGCTTTCCACATTTATCAATGGCATATGCAAGCTGCTAAAATGGTAAAGTGTGAGAAGAGCGATAAATAATAATAGTACGCGCTCATTGGTGGAGAAACACACCACACAGGCGACGAAAATCTTACGCGGAATACTGATGCCAATGGAAAGTACATGTATGTTGTTTATTATTATGATGTTGCAATGTCCATGTATGCAGGCTCTGTCGCAATATTTAGTTCTGAAGTTTTAATGCGCCGTTAGTGGCAGAGCAGAGTGGACACGAAGAGTTGGTGAAGAAAGAAGGGAGAGATGACAAGTCGAGTCGGTGAAGAAGGAAGGAGAAAAAAAAGACACATCTGCAACATCTTTGTTTGATCAAAATGAGCTGAGCTGCTGATACGAAGCGTCGACCAAGCATCCCTGACTGGAGTGAATGCCCCAGCTGGCCTCTCGTTTGTCAGTGGTTGCCGATGGACCTGTTAGTATCACACTCACGACTACAAGTTTCCTGGTGTGCATCGACATCGGCATCAGTGGGGCCTCCCGCTGTCGATCCTGTTGACGGGCGGACAGGTCGGTGTGAATCCTGAACGGCAACCGAGCCTGTCGCGTTGGGGGATCTCGGCGGTGAGTCTCGCCTGGCCTGCATACATGGACATTGCAACATCATAATAATAAACAACATACATGTACTTTCCATTGGCATCAGTATTCCGCGTAAGATTTTCGTCGCCTGTGTGGTGTGTTTCTCCACCAATGAGCGCGTACTATTATTATTAATTTTATCGCTCTTCTCACACTTTACCATTTTAGCAGCTTGCATATGCTATTGATAAATGTGGAAAGCGCGCACTTGCGCCATTTCTGGTGTATAAGAATGATCATTCCTCCATTATCATCACTATCATCCTCTACTGATGAGCTCCGACAGGGAGCGAAACAGCTGTCTAGAGGCGTGGAGCAATATTATCTCTCAACGGAAGTGTCCTTGCTGGTGTCTGTATGGTTCGGCTGAAGAGCGCGTGGTTGTGATGAGCATGAAACAAGGTTTATCTAAAACTAGTATTATACTAGTATTGGGTTATAATGTATGTACTACAGTCGTCCCTCTCTAATCCGGCACTTGTTTATCCAGCACCCTTGCAAACCAGCACACTTTCTGGCAAAACGGATTTTTTCAGTTCATTTTCTACGCTTTAATCCGGCACTTGAATTCCGCCTCCAGCAGCGATTTTCTGCAACAAATCACTCAAACTGTACATAATTCGATTTTCTAATCCAGCAGTTGTATATCGCATACCGTCAGGGAGCATTGTAACATACACCTCAGATGTAACAATACACTTGGGAATATCCTATACCAGTGCATAGGATATTCCCAAGTGTATGTTATAGACATGCATTCCACAAAGTACTTGGATTGACACAGAAAATCCCTACGTTTTGACGTACGACACAAACATGTATGTTAATTGGTGGGCCGGGTTGGAGGGCAGGATTCGATAATCCAGCACCCTTGTTTATCCAGCAGAAAATGCCGTTGCAAAATGTGCCGGATTAGAGAGGGACGACTGTAGTAGGCTTTAACGTACTCGGTTGTCTATTTGCTTTGTTTCTTACTAGTGACTTGTGAGGCAGGTAGGTATAGGTACGTTGTATGTAGGTAGATAGATAAGTAGGTAGGTATGTAGATAGGTGGGTAGGTACATAGGTAGGTAGGTAGGTTCATAGGTAGGTAGGTAGGTAGGTAGGTTATTGTATGTAGATACATGTAGGTAGTACAAAGCAGTATGTAAGGCTTTTTCTTGAGTGCCACGTGCTGTGGCGTGTCTAGATCTCTTGGTGAGTTTGCTTTAGATCGCCTGTTGGATTGGTGTGATCGCCTGTTGGATTGGTGTGATCGCCTGTTGGATTGGTGTGATCGCCTGTTGGATTGGTGTGATCACCTGTTGGATTGGTGTGTTTGGCAATAAATAGTACGTCACGAATACCCCTTCCGCATTTTGAGGACTGTGGCCCAGAATCAAGATTGTGTTTTTCATATTATTTTTATCGTGTCTATGATTATTGATTTGGAATTTACATTTAAACTAACGGCGAGGAGACAATATTTTGATAACCGCAATCAATAAAATGAACTGAACCGACATTTGTGTACTTTATTCACTACAAATGCCGACTCAAAAAGACCCACCTTGCATATCAGCAGCTCCCACACCAACACCAACAGCGCAATCTACAGCAACCACAACTAATCCACCATCCAAGCCCACAATTGAAAGACCAAAACGATAAACAGCCAACTACAACAGAAGCTACGCACTCAACAGACAAGGGCGAAAGGAGGGACGTGACAGCAGGGTGACGGCCGAGTTAAGTTCAATGGACCCGGTCAGGCAGGATGGACGAGACAGAGAGAGCGGAGGATGGAACGAACTGCAAAGGGAGCAGTAAGTCGGAGAGCAATGATGGAAGATATTGTGAGAGTGCAGGTGAGAGTGTTAGTGTTGTGCGTAGGGTTCGTGGTAGCAAGTCTTCAGTGTACAATCATCTGCTAGTTAGTCCTGATTGTTGCAATTCGTATTCCGACTTTTCGTTCACTGTATTGTGCCGTGGTCGTCATGGTTATGGTTATGGACTACAGTTAAAAGTGTTGAAAGCTATCTATCAGCGTCTGTATAAGCGTAATTTGTGTGTACAGAAAGATAGTATAATTGGGTTGAAATTGGTCAAGTAACGTGTCGTGTTTGGTGCGGCCAAGATTGGCCGTTAATGTTCCAGGAGAAATGCACTGCTGTTATGTGTTATCACTTTTTCCTTCCTTCTTTCTTTCTCTTGTTTGTTCATTTTTCCATTTGCATGTTTATTGTTAGCACACGCATTCGTTATTGCTCTCGCTTTGATTGTTAAAATTCACACTTGTAAATTTCACTGCTGTTGTTCTTAGTGTTATTTCTCTAACTTAGATTTTCTGTAATAGTTCAATTTTGTTTCAGTGTCCTTTATTACAACGACGATTCCGGATGAGTGTTGTACGAAAACTTGTTTGAAACCATTTTTTCTCTACACCTTTTCTTCATATTTTGATCGTTTCATTGCATATCGTATCCACCGTTTTTTACATTGCATGAATAAAGTACACAAATGTCGGTTCAATTTCAAATTTGGACTTCACCGAGATTTTCAAAGTTTTAGGAAATTAGAGGCCACATACCACGTACTGCTCTTTTCTCTCCGAAACTCAACACTTGCAAGCCAGATATGAAAGAAAGAAAAAAATCTTTCTTTCATATCTGGCTTGCAAGTGTTCAGCTCATTTTATTGATTGCGGTTATCAAATTTACATTTACATTGCTTTTCTCCATTTATTTGCTTTTTTGCTGCTTCGCAATCGTGTTCTTTTAAATGAAGGTTTAAGTAGGTAGGTGGTAGCGGAAGAAACTGACAGTTTATCCATGCGTACTGAACTAAGCGACTTCGTAGTTATGTACATAAACTGAGTGGAAAGGTTGGAAGTGAACATGGATACGAGCGATCGCAATGATGATATTTGAGGGATAAATCGCTCTCCTATCAATTTGGTTTTGAAGCTCATTGATTCTGGATTGTTTGGTTAACTGCTGCTCTTGTGTAGATCAAGTTAAAAGTTGCCTCGTCCGCAATCAATCACTCGGACGTCATGGTTGGATGCGATCGAAGTAAGGCATGCATCCCTGTTGATTTTCACGCACAACATATAGGGAACTGTGCAAAGGGCCAAAAGATGCCCCTCGGAAGTTGACCTATCTGGGGAAAATGGTGGAAAAGGAAAATTTCTATACTGAGACATGATGGAGGGACATATTTGCGCAGACAATTTTTATAACTTGACACCACGGCACCCAGTGTTGTTTGTTTGGACTTTCATTGGAATTGCGCAATCATTTCGGGTTGAGACGTCACGTGGATGATCTGTGTTGTATAGTGCCGAAATATGCTGGAGCGAGTTAGGGGTCAAGGGAGGGAGGTGACGGGTACGGGATGGGAATCTATGCAGCTTCATTCAGCGTCCTCTAATTTCTCTCTCGATACAGCAGCCGCCTCCTGACATGAGAGCAGCGACATGCGTTACTACCAGTAACAGTTTTTTTGCTTTGTCATACTACAACCATTCAATCCGGTGAACCGCTCGATAGGCGATTTGCCTTTGGGTCATCCTAATAAAGTAACACTAAACAGTCCTCTTCTTGGGGAACTGGACGTTGATGTCGTTTCTAATAATAATAATTAATGTTCCTAGTCGAATTTCATTGAACTTTCCGAATCTTGTACCTTTTTAAGCAATCATAATGTCTTTTAAGGTGTCTTACATTCTGGCATTAAGATCGGTGAAGGGAACACGCCCATTCCAAAGGACACCTGAAAATCCAAATTCGTTTTATCAAAAAAAATTTTTTAATGCTCTACCTAATGACTTGAAATCCTCCAGTTCGATCGTGGTTTTAAGCGCTTATTGGATGATCCAGTTTGGTTTGAACGATATCGTGCAATTTAGTTTGACAACGTTGGCAACGTTTAGTTGCCTACTCACCAGCTACATGTATATATTGCCCAGGTTCATTCAGCATACGTTTTTCTTCTTTTCTCTTTATGTTCACCTCTCATCCCCTTTTTTTTTTTTGCTAAACATTTGAACATTTACACTGATGTATGAACATTTACACTGATGTATATTTTACATTGTTTATTTATTTAGTTTTTTATATATTTTTTTGGTCCCATCCGCCTCTTCATATTTGTGCAGCTGCACTGTTGAGCTTCCGATGTAAAAAAATAATAATAAATAAAATAAAATATGGAAGAGAAAAAGACATATGGATACGAGTTAAGATAAAATAAACAGTGTTTCTACAATTGGCCATCGCCAGATGCCATAATTATTGTTTGTCCGAGCGTGGAGGCATTAGTATACATTAGGGGTGAAAGTTGGCATTGAGATCCCGAGTTCGAGTACTCTGATTTTCTCCGATCGAATACTCGAGTATTCGAGTATTCTTCATCTCCTAAAAATTGCACACCAAGGGCCTTAAAATCACATGAAACACCATTGATTGAACCGAATGGCAGTCATTTTTCTCTGGGATATTGGTGGCTGGGTCATTTGGGCTCTCTCTACTCTTGAACAAATGTTCACCACACAGTCTGCACATCAATATCTGCCGATTGCTGCTCTGAAACTGCAGAGTTCTGTGGTAAATGCATGTACCACGTATGAACGAGTACTCTGATTTATTCCGAGTACGATTATTTCTGAAAAAAACCGATCGAGTACTCGAGTATTCAGTATAATTGTTTCACCCCTAGTATACATAATACATCTACAAGTACGTATCTAATTTGGACCCCAATGCCATTGAAATACCCGCGGGAATTATCTTCCTAGACTGTTCGGTGACATCTTATAACCTCTCTTTATCTATTACAGTAAAGCCTGTTAAAGGGGAAGTTAAGGCAAAAATTAAAATTTCACCAGTTGTAGTCTTCGGGGTGCTGAGTCGAATGGTCTTGGTCCGAGAAAGCTGAGACCCTCCCTTCCTACTTGAATCCCAATCGAACTCGCGCACTTCCACCGAAACTGGGTGACTGCGCCCTACTAGATGGGGATTTGTATGCAAAATGTCACTAAAAGCGCCATTTCGTTCTTATAAAAGCACGGATGACCACGATTGGCCCATATGTTGTAGTCTTTTGGACGCTGAGTCGACTGGTTTTGGTCCGAAAAGGCTGCGATGCAGCGTTCCTCCTTTATTCCCAATCGAACATGGTTGAAGAAGCGGTCACGTGCTCCTGCGTACACCAGTCACCTGGTCACCGTGCCTGCAGGGTACAACTTACTAGCCTGTTTGACCTTTTTTGGGTGCAGTCCTGTCACTCGAGTTGAACCCGAGTTGAACCTTGGTGTGAAAGTTGTCACCTGCTGGCGTGGTGACCAGGTGATTTGGGCACCCAGGACCACGTGACCGCTTCTTCAACCATGTTCGATTGGGAATAAAGGAGGAACGCTGCATCGCAGCCTTTTCGGTCCAAAACCAGTCGACTCAGCGTCCCAAACACTACAACATATGGGCCAATCGCGGTCATCCGTGCTTTTATAAGAACGAAATCGCGCTTTTAGTGACATTTTGCATACAAATCCCCATCTAGAAGGGCGCAGTCACCCAGTTTCGGTGGAAGTGCGCGAGTTCGATTGGGATTCAAGTAGGAAGGGAGCGTCTCAGCTTCCTCGGACCACGACCATTCGACTCAGCACCCCGAAGACTACAACTGGTGAAATTTTAATTTTTGCCTTAACTTCCCCTTTAAGGCGACCACTCGGATAAGGCGACCACTCGGATAAGGCGACCACTCGGATAAGGCGACCACTCGGATAAGGCGACCACCTGTCCAAGAAGACCATTACAACCAAGACCAAGGGACTTTATTCCCAATCAAATGACCCTGGATAAGGAGACCACCTGGTTACAGAGACCACATTTTCAAGGTCCCTTGAGTGGTCATCTTAGACATGTTTCACTATAATTATACCGGTACACGGACATGAACAGAGGCAATTGAAGCTGCACACTTTGAGGGGCGGTTGTTGGCCTTACTAAGATGTGTGTATGCGTGTGTGTGTGTGTGTATGTGTGTATGCGTGTGTGTGTATGCATATATGTGTGATTATGTCTGTGTGTGTTTGCGCCTTTGTGTGTCTGCATCTGTCTAGGAAGCCGTTCCATTCTAGCCGTTTTCCTCCTAATCCTCTTTGCGGCATGCCTGATAGGCGGAGCGGTCCTGATTGATTGGGGAGTCAACGCTGGACCAGATTTTAGCGGTGGGATCATAATTGGGTTGGGAGTTCTCTGCTTGTTCATTTGTATACCTTTTGGCCTCGCAGGCTGTGTGCTTGGGTGTCAGGTCCGACTTGAGAGTCAAAATTTCAACAGAGCTCTGAGGCAATGTTCCCATGAAAGCGCAAGCATAGCCCAGCCAGTTAGAAAAGGAACTGCTGCAGCTGCTGTTCCCGGCGCCGCCGTCATCCCGAACGCAATCATCCTACCCACTTACAATCCAGTTGGACCGGTAATGGCAATGCCAGTCACACATCCTGCTTAACAATTACATTATATTGTGGCATACGACTACTGGTCCCGAACACAACCAGCAACAGCAACATGAGCAGCGACAGGCGTAGCAGCAGCAGCAACAGGAGCAGCAGCAGGAGCAGCAACAACAGCCTCAGGATGAGCAAACCACCGCATCCGTCCCCTCTGCGCCGCCGTTACTGGAATCTGCCAGGAGCGATGCTCCTCCGAGCTTTTCACAAGTATTTGCTACTGAAGACTTAGTGACTAACACAAAAGAACTGTTCACACCTTGTTTGTACTACGGAACAGGTACATGTTATAATAATACTAATAATAATAACTTTAAACTCGGATACTGAGCAAGTAATAAAATGTAAAAAAGAGAAGAAACACTGTTTATCATCTGACTGTTTATCATCTCGTTACAGTCGTGGATAGTTGCTGCATAACTCGTTCTCATGTGTTTCTTCTCTTTTTTAAATAATAACTTTATTAGGAAGACCCAAAGGCTGACCGCCTATCGTGGGGTCCGACGCATTCAAGGATGTATAATGACACATTGTGTTGCCCGAACCATGATTAACGTGAAACTCGGAGGTACACCACCATGCACTGTACAATGTACATGCAAGTCTAGGCTCTTCTCTCACTTCTGTCTGCTTTATAATAGTCTTATCATTCTACAGCAGATATCTCTTTATTTGATTACAATAGAATCGTCTTAGCTTGTTGGCAATCCGTTACATTTGAAATCTACACGTGTACCATATACATTGTAGGATTGGGGTTCGAAGCTTCCCAGATGTTTCCTAAAATGCATATGACACCTCGCTTTCAAGAAACACTGGGAAGTTCACTTATCTTGGACTTCTCCGGGGCCAATTGTTTCGTATACGTGCGTCAAGCCAAATATTTTTTTATTATTAAGTTGCGTTTCCCAACCCTTTTCGCAATGTGTAGAAAAACAGTGCTTAAGCAGTTCCCCATACCCATTCCATGCAAGTGAGGCGGAGAACTCAGTGATGACGAGTTGTGGCACACAATATTTAACAATTACATTTCCAAGCCAGCGACCGTCCCAGTCGCAAAGCCCAGGCAACTATTTCCCATACATACGAAGATGGCACCGATCAGGTCAGAAATCATCGCCACGAGCAACAGCAAGAGGCGCAGCAGCAGCAGGAGCGGCAACACCAGTCTCAGGAGCAGCGGGATGTGCAAGCCACCTCTTTGGCCCCCTCCGCGCCGCCGTTAGAGTCGGCCAACAACGATGGTCCTCCGCGCTATTCCCATTTATTTGTGGCTAGTCCACGTCTTAGTAATTGAAAGAAAGGCTAATCACAGTGGTATAATTGTTGTAGCATTGTACAGTATAACACATTAAATTGTGTCTATGCCACCACTCCGACAAGGCGCCCAACCGCAAAACCACCAGCAAGAGCAGTGGAATCAGTCATGCTACCAGCAACAGCAGTGGAACCAGTCACGGTACCAGCAACAGCAGTGGCAGCAGCTACTGTAGTCTGCAGTGGCAGCAGCAGAGGCCGCAGCAGCAGCAATAGTGGCAGTAATAGCTGTCTCTGCCGCATCAGCACCAACCTCAACATTAGGAGCAATAGCAGCAGCACCAGCAGCAACAGCAACATACAAACACTTAATTGACAGTAGCCGGAGTAAGCAGCTGCCCTATTCCGCTTTGCATCACTGGATCATCCCAGCAGCTATTTTTCAATATTGACAAAAGAATCATGATACCTACGTAACTTGACATACTCTCGTTTTTACGAAACAAACTAATATGAATTGTGGCAAGGGATTATTCCAGCACTGAGGCCATATCAAGTGCATGGGCTGAACCTAAGCAAAGTTTGATAAGAAAAAGTGGCCACGGCACGTGTACTTCGAATCGGCAGAAAATCACATTCATTGTCAAAAAATTCTCGAGGGGGGCATTGCACCTCCTAACAGCTTTCTGAATGCTGGTACACTTGTTGCAGAAAGCTTGCACAAGTACACACTGAAATACATGTAGGTTGTGATTGGAATGCCTAGGAAATTGAATACATTGAAACCTGTGACTAACGACCCCCCTTGGGGCCAGAGAAAGCGGTCTTTAGTGGCAGGTGGTCTTTAGTTAGAGGTTTGCACCGCACAACCATAATATATGATTGTGAGACAGTCTGTGCCTGGCGAAGTGGTCTTTAGTACCAGGCTGGTCGTTAGTCACGGTGGTCTCGATTTTCAGGTTTTACTGTATGGTCCACCTTGTGAATAGTGTCTTTTCAAAAGCATAAGAAATGTGTTGTGATTTGCTAGGTGGAGTGATGTGTGAGGCTGAAAGTAGACAGTTGAATGGTGACTAGGTCGGAAAACAGTTTGAGTTGCCGCAATACCACCCCGAGGTGGACAGGAGCAGGCTCGCTAGCGCTAGCGTACGAACAAACACGACATCATGGCATAATACGTCGGTGCGCATCTGATGAATAGCTTCCCGGGGTACGCCTCGCCCTTCTGCTCAAACACGTGCAGTGCGCCTTCCAGAATTAGACAGCCACAAATCCCGCACGACAGAGCTGTGCGCTCCAGTTCGATGCAGCGCGACTCCAGGGACTTCCCCCTCGCGCTGTCCAGCGCCCACTCCTCGAAGCGCCGGTCAAACTCACGGGCGTCCGTCGTACAGTACTTGAAATTGGAATGGGGGTCGGGCAGGTAGAGCGGATCGGTGACCGACGGTTGGTGGGTGTGAGCCAGGTCACCTGAATATGTTGCAAAGCAGAAAAGTAAAACAGACATAAATACCTTCACCTACACTGTGTTATAACTAGGGATGAAAAGGGTATCGAATGCTTAGTACTCCAGCACTCGCTCGAAAATATGAAAAGAGCGAGTACTTGCTTGGCAATCCGACTGCGTAAGTCAAGCACGAGCGTTGGATACTGTACAGCCCTAGTCCTACCCACACTGAGATGTTGACTGGCGCCTGCAGCAACATTGGCTCACTCGATCGTATTTCATTGATCTAAAACTTAGTAGCGCTTGCAAAGAACTCTACCGACACTGCCAGGTGGACATTGCGTAATGATCAAACTCTCCTCGTAACGAGTACCGGTACATACCCACCCCCAACCCCCACCTCCTCCCCATCCCTGGAGTGTGGTCAGTGTAAGTGATATTGCTTGAGGGCATCCCAAGACACCATCTCCAGAGCGCATCACTTGCACGAGCATACACACACACATGGATACACGCGACGAAAAACCATGCCCCCCCCCCCCCCCAGCGACACACACAAATACGCCTGCATGTCCTCCCCCCCCCCTCCATACACACATACAAACTCACCAACACACGCTCACGCGGACACGAACGAAGACACGCATGTACCCACACCCCCGCCCCCAACACACACACACATATGCACAAGCAATGTCAGCCATGTATACTCCCACACATACACGGTACCGTACTCTTGATGGTACGGGACAGGTACGGGATAGCGCCAGGCATGTCAATGGCACAAACAAACAAAAATATTGTGGCCAGCTGTCTTTGCTGGTACGGTAAAGTACGGGACAGATACGGGATACCGCCAGGCGTGACACAAACAAACAAACAAACAAACAAACAAACACCAAATTAAAGCTGTGTGGACCCTGGCTAGCGCCAGACGTTACTGAAGTAACGTCTTCTGCATAGCTACGGGAATTAAAGCTGTGTGGACCCTGGCTAGCGCCAGACGTTACTGAAGTAACGTCTTCTGCATAGCTACGGGAATTAAAGCTGTGTGGACCCTGGCTAGCGGCAGACGTTACTGAAGTAACGTCTTCTGCATAGCTACGGGAATTAAAGCTGTGTGGACCCTGGCTAGCGCCAGACGTTACTGAAGTAACGTCTTCTGCATCGCTACGGGAATTAAAGCTGTGTGGACCCTGGCTAGCGCCAGACGTTACTGAAGTAACGTCTTCTGCATAGCTACGGGAATAAAACCCAATACAGCAGTCAATAACGCGCGCAGTACCATCAGATTCCTCCAAGATATCCCCAAGCCTCATCCACCGTCCACCATCAGAGTCCAAAAATCGTCAATCGTCAACCGTCCACCATCACTCCACCAAAGTACATTGTGCTAGTTTATGGGTGTGCGTGTGTGTGTGCGAGTGTGTGTGTGTGTATATGCGCATGTGTGTTCGTATGTGTCAACCGTGAGGCGTGTACGAGTGTTTTGGTACACACCCAAAAGTTTACATTTGCCAGAGTGAGGCACACTTGGCAGAGTGAGATATCTCGTCAATAGCACTGAAAGGGTTAAATGACCGTGGCAATGGATCTTTTCGCCAATTTGTTCCTGATGATCCGAGATGACCTTGTTCTGGCGTGCCTTCAGCTGATTGAATACACAACGATGATCAAAGTGCCAATGGCTGCATTGCAGAATTACGATTCCTGGTTTTCCTGAAATCTATACAACATGTACCATCTGCACTATGGGATTGTGCTTCGATGCTTCCCAGATGTTTCCTAAAATGTATCTGACACCTCACTTTCAGGAAAAACCCGAGAAGCCACTTTCCTCGGACTCCTCCTGTGCCTTTTGTTTCGTATGCGTGGGTCAAGCAATCAACGTCCCCCGCGGGAGCTGCGCTCTACCGCCACCTCACCTGCTTCGGACTAGAGCAGCTTGTGATTACCCCAACGCACACAACACCTGCAGGGACCCAGTCGTGCTTAGACCTTCTCTTCGTCAACAACCCCCAGCTTGCAACGGATATTAACACGACTTGTACTCTTGGATCCTCGGATCATCTGACCGTGTCATGTCGGTTCGAGCTCTCACCATCGCCTGGCCAACATCTGCAGCAAGCACCACGCAAACATTTCCCTTACCGCTATCGTCATGTCCCCTCTCACTGCTGGGACTCTCTTAATTCCGATCTCTCTCATTGTGACTGGTCATTTCTACGCCCAGGCAACTCCCCAACTGTTGACAACGCAGTCGATCGATTTTCAATCGTCCTGGAACAAACCTTCCAGCACCACCTCGCTGATTTTTCCACCCATTCTTGTCAGCCAAACACACGCACATCGTCTGTGACATCCAATCCACCCTGGGTGTCGACTGTCCTCGTATCTGCGGTGAAACTTAAACGAGACCTCTTCAGTGTCAGCCGAAATTTTCCAACACCAGTCAATATGGAGGCCTACCGAGTTCAACGCAACTTTGTCAAATACCTATCCCGTAAAACCTACCGCTCTTACATCAGCTCCCTCTCTGCAACAATCTCCTCACCCAATCGTCCTTCTCTCTATCAGTTCATTCGCACCCAGCGTCCCAGTGTCTCTCGCGCCCCAATCCAGTGCTTGATTGATCCTGATGGCAACCGTCAGTCTGAGGCAAAATCCATTGCGGACACTCTGAACAAACAGTTTGTCTCTCCCGGCCTTCCCCACGATCCGAACTGGGTTATCCCGCCCCTGCACCCAGCTCCAGAGCTGCGCGCTCCACTTCTGGAGGTCTTTACAACAACTGGTGTGGTCCGCAAACAACTGAAATGTCTTAAGAGCTGCAAGTCTCCTGGAAAAGACGGTATTCCAAATGAAGTCCTTAAACTGCTGGTGCCTTCCTTGTCGTGTCCCCTTTGCTTGCTCTTCAACTTGTCATATCGTGCAGGAGTCTTCCCGTCTGCGTGGAAATCTGCTATTGTTGTCCCGATATTTAAGAAAGGACAACGCTCCCAAGCTGTTAATTACAGGCCCATCTCCCTCCTCCCAACTATATCCAAGGTCTGTGAACGCATCTTCTATGAATCTCTCTACCACCATGTCACCCCTGCCCTCTCCTCTGCACAATCCGGCTTCTGTCGTGGCGACTCAACTACTTTGCAATTGACACGCTTAATCCAGGATATTTACGGACATCGTAACCTGAAGAAGCATGTAGGTCTTGTGTTTTTGATCTATCAAAAGCGTTCGATACAGTCTGGCATCGAGGCCTCCTTGCAAAGCTTGAGTCCATTTTTCTAGTACGTGGTACAGCTCTGCAGTGGCTGTCGTCATATTTGTCGTCCCGTCATCAAACTGTCCGTGTCTCTGCTTCCTTGTCCGATCCTTTACCTGTAGTGTCTGGTGTTCCACAGGGTCCATACTGGGTCCACTCCTTTTCCTAACTTATGTGAACGATCTGCCCTCTCTAGTTCCAGACGTCAGCCTTTTTGCTGATGACACTGCACTGTTGTGCTCTGACAGCTCGCCTTCCAACCTCGTTACCTCCATGCAGACCGGCATTAACTCCACCATAGCATGGATGGAAGCTTGGAAGCTGAGGCCCAACATCGCGAAGACCGAAGCAATGTTCATCAGCCCATCGCCGCCTACTCAGCCGTTGCACTTTCCAGGAGCCGATGCTAACGTTAAAATTGCTCATGAACACAAACACCTTGGTGTTATGTTCGACAGCCATGTGTCCTGGTCCCCACAGGTCCAGTCAGTATGCAAGCGAGCTAGCTCCTCCCTTGGCATGTTGCAACCTCACTGCCACCATTTAAATGACCATTGCCGAAAATTGTTCTTTACGTCGTACATTCTACCTATATTTGATTACTGTGACACAGCGTGGTGCGGTCTGTCTCAGGCCCTTGTTCAAACTCTGGAAATACACCAGCGTCTGCTTCTAAAAATCCTGTTTCGCAAAAATCAAACATTCTCCTCCCAACATCTCTACAGTTTAGCTTCAGTATCTCCCCTCTTAGAGCGACACCAGCAACATCTTTG